GCGGGTCGGGATGGACAGGGGGACACGGCCAGGGATGGACAGGGGGACACAGCCAGGGATGGACATTGGGGACACGGCCGGAGTGACCACAGGGCCACCAACCCGGCAGGACCCACAGACCCAGCTGGAGCCACATCCTCGTGTCCGGTCCTTGTGTCCGGTCCTCGCTTGGACACTGGAGGGTCGCTGTCCCCCGTGTCCCCTCCCTGGTGGCCCCCCCGTGTCCCCTCCCTGGTGACCCCCCCGTGTCCCCCGGCCCTAATTAGCCGGGGACATTCCCGGCATAGCTGCAGCCCCTAATGAGGCTCCATAAACGGCTCCGGGCGCGGCTCCTGGGGCCGCTCGTAAAATCCCCCCCTTAAAATCCCCCCTTAAAATCCCCCATAAATTCCCTCCCCCCTTAAATCCCCCCATAAATTCCCCCTTTAAAAATCCCATTTAAAATCCCCCCTAAAATTCCCTTTTAAAATCCCCTTTTGCGGCCGGGGACTTGGGCCAGGACCTGAAAGTCCCCAGCCCCGTCCCGGGTGTCCCCAACCCCATCCCGGGTGTCCCCAACCCCGTCCCGGGTGTCCCCAACCCCGTCCCGGGTGTCCCCAGCCCCGTCCCGGGTGTCCCCAACCCCGTCCCGGGTGTCCCCAGCCCCATCCCGGGTGTCCCCAGCCCCATCCCGGGTGTCCCCAAACCTGTCCCGGGTGTCCCCAGCCCCGTCCCGGGTGTCCCCAACCCCATCCCGGGTGTCCCCAACCCTGTCCCGGGTGTCCCCAGTCCCGTCCCGGGTGTCCCTAACCCCATCCCGGGTGTCCCCAACCCCATCCCGGGTGTCCCCAACCCCATCCCGGGTGTCCCCAGTCCCATCCCGGGTGTCCCCAACCCCGTCCCGGGTGTCCCCAGCCCCGTCCCGGGTGTCCCCAGCCCCGTCCCGGGTGTCCCCAGTCCCATCCCGGGTGTCCCCAACCCCGTCCCGGGTGTCCCCAACCCTGTCCCCCACACCTGGGGAGCTGCACCACGTATGGCAATGGCTTTGTCCCCATGTCCCCGTGTCCCTGTCCCCGTCCCCCCCCGTCCCCCGGGGCTGTCCCGGCACCCCCCAACCCCTCCCCCCCCTTCCCCCATCCCAAATCCTTCCCCGGGAGGTGACAAAGGTGACAGAGGTGACATCGCCACCCCCCGGGGGTGGAGCTGAAACCTCGCAACTCTCGCATTTTTATTTATTTTTTAACATCGTTAAATTATTTTTTTTTGTTGTTTTTAATTTTTTTTATTATTTATTTCTTTTTTTTTTTTTTTTTTAATTTTTTTTGTTGTTTCAATGCTTAGTT